GAGCAAAGCTGTTTGATGGTTGCAGAACGAATATATCGATTCGAACGGCGAAGGACGTCGCTTGCACACAAAACCACCGTAAAAATATTAGTTTAATGTTGCTGTGTTTCGTGTGGCGAGTGTTGACAACCGGAGACCCTTTTTACTGCCTTACAGTGCCAAACAGTTCTCTCAGCCTTTTGATATTAGGTGGAGCACTGTTCAAGTATCTTTATAAATATTGGATGGCCTACAAATAACTGTGTGCAATTTTTGTATCCGTGATGCAGGAGAAAATTCTAGTGTAAGGGTAACCTAAAAATAAAATAGTGGAGCACTTGAAGGCACGCTTTTGTTTGATGATAAAACACACAGATAAAACAGAAAATGATCGAGTGTTTGCAGTTCGCATAATTGCAATTTTAAAAGGTAAAATATGTTGATCTGATATAATTATCTTTTGGATCGAGTAGCTTCGTTAGATTACGTTTATCACACACCAATACAACGCCGCTTTCGAGAATTTATTGTGATTCACTCTTTGTGTTTAATAATGGCATTAAACATGTATTTTTGTATAATTTTTGGTTATATACTCTGTGTAGCGTACTCAGAGTGCAGGACTGGTGAACATAGTGCTCCTGAACCTGGTGATAACGATTTAAACCGGGATTTGTCCCAGTGTACTGGAATGGATGTCGCCCTAGATGAATACTCTTGTAGTAAACTAATGCTCAAGTCAAAAGAAATAATTTTATGAACATTCAATATTTTTAAACAATAAAAATTTAAATTAACATACAAATAGAAAACCTAATATCTTAATATAAAATCACATGAGATAGGGGTTCTGTTCGTACGGAGTTCCTGGCATTTCACACATTTTATGCCCCACTAGGCTAACTAGACTCATTTGAGCGTTTTAAGACAATGCACACGAAAATTTCGAATTACAGCAGTCTATCATTTATCACTATGACTATCTTATCATATCACACTATGATAGCGAGTGACATATTCAGTAAGTGACACAAGTGCGAAACGCACGTGTATAGTTGTTCGGTTATTTTTTTAATTAAGGTGCAGTGTATGGTTTTTCGACGATACGTACACGTAAGTTTAAATATATTTGCATGCTATGTAAAATAAGCAAAACATGAGCGCTCGATTTTTACCTGTGAACAACATATATACCATGTTTTACGCAAATAAAGATTATTATTATTATTATTATTATTAAGTGAAAAAAAATGTTCATAACTTTGAGTTGTGGTTAAGGATAGTCGTAAGTTGTAATAGATAATTAAGACACAATTTACTGGAAAAGAGGCATTCTATCTTAGTCCTCACGGCTGACAACGCGTGTGCATTTAATTCGCAAACGAAGATAGATGTAGACCTCTATGGGCCACAGTAACCACTTACCATCAGGTGAACTGTGTCACGGGACTCGCTTGTCACCGTTATTCTATAAAAAAAAATTAGTATAATAGGTGACGGGAGATAATCTTTCATAATTACGTTATCTTATGTGAAACTATATTTGATTTAAAAACTAAAAAACATTGAGATGCTTAGATTATTTTTAGTATTTTATATCTTTCTTTTTGTGATTCGAATTTTGAAATTAATGCAAACTGATTGAGAATATTTTAAATAAAGATAATAATATAATGTGGTAACATTTAATAGTGAAAAAAATTTCTACATTTCTATATTTTAATAGGTAACTATTATTATATAACGGTTTAAGGAAAATATATTTTACCTTTAGATTTCATATCAATTAAAGATCTACACAACATGAACAAGCATTTCATCAGTAAAAGTTCATCACCTAATTCTAACTAAATCAAAAATACCTAAAAGATTAAGCACACTTACATTATTTTTGAAGAGTATTTAGCTTGTGCATATGTACAGTACAAGTCCATATATTGTCCTTTCGCTTTTCATTGAATAATTATTTGTTATCATTGTAATATGTGTAACCTGCGTTCGATCTTCACCGGTATTAATTAAATTGTTAATTGTAATTTTAAGTGCTGTTTTACCATGCGCTATTTTAACATTATGGTAAAAACTGTGTTGAAGTCAAAAAATATTTTGAATACATCATGTAAAACCCGCCAACACGCATTGGATCAGCGCAGTGTACGAGTATTAATCGCTTCATAACTGTCTCCGAAATGAATAAATCAAAAGTAATCACTGCTGAACATAGGACTTCCCATAGATTGCCTCATTTTTTACCATAGACACCTCGCTTGGCAAGAGGGTTGGCAACCGCAGTTTTTTTTAGTTGTTCTTAGATAGTAAGAATATTGCCTGTATTTATTCTTTTTATAGGATAAGGGTGACAAACGAGCACACAGTCCACCTGATGGTAAGTGGTGGCTGTGGCCAATAGACATCAACATCTATCTTCGATTACGAATTAAAATGTAGATGCGCTGTAAGCCCATTCGTGTTACAATCATAATAATATAGCTGGAGCATGGCTCTACCACGTAATAAACTATTACAGGTTGTGGTGTAAAATTTAAGGAAATTAATATATTAACTTTGGTCCCTCAATACATTCACGAAAATGTAATGTATGTACACAAAAATAAAAGTAGTTTTAAAAAAATAAGTGATATTCATTCTGTAAATATTAGGAACAGACAACTAGTAGTACCAGTTACAATCTATCCTATCATTATCCTTCAGCGTGAAACTTCTTGTAATGGTAATAAATTTTTCCGCCGACTTCAAAAAGTACCGTCTCGTACTCAATTCGACTGTATGTGTTTTTTATGTGTGTTACCTAATAACTTTTTACTGGGTGAACCGATTTCGATGATTCTTTTTTATTTGAAAGCTGGTACTTCACATATGGTCCCATATGAGTTTGATCAAAGTCAGACCAATAGTTTTTGAGTTATCCTTAATAATTTATATTGAAGTCGTTTGTACAAAATTTTTAATTTTAAATTATAGTCGACTTCAAAAAAGAATTCTCAATTCGATTGTGTCTTTTTTATGTATGTTCCACGATATCTTCGTCAATTAAGAACGGATTTTAATTATTAAATGTTTAAAATTATAATTTTTTTAACGCCGTAGTAATCTCAGTCACTTAGAAACTATAATACAATATTTAGTATGTCAAAGATCAAGTGATAAAATTAAAAATTTTGTACAACCGACTTCAATATAAATAAAATGAGAACATCATTAATGTATTCGAAGTTAATTAAATACGCATTATTTAGGATAACTCAAAAACTACTAATCGGATCTTGATCAAATATATATGTGGTACCACATGAAAAACACCAGCTTTCAAATAAAAAGGAATCATCGAAATCGGTTCACCTTGAAAAAAGTTCTGAGGTAACGCACAAAAAATACAGTTTTGATGTCGGTTAAAATCAACAAACAAAGCAAAGATTCAAATACGGCAATGACTCATTAACACATTTTGTTTGCAGCCAATGTTTTGTCAAGCATACATTATTGTTGAACTTGAGCTGTGGTAGATTAGAAGCTTACCTTTCGTCGTACGAGTGCATAATAAGCTATGCAAACCGAATTCGAGACGAATTGGTACCACATCAAATTAATTTTATGTTATCATGGAGCACTCGATAAATCAGCATTTTAAATTAGAATTTACACATTTTAAAGGTTTACAGTATCATACTTTTTAAGGATGGGGTCTGCTATATTCATAAGTCGTGGATTTAAGTATATTATTCAACTACTGTCGTTAGTCACTCTGCCACGACTAACCCAGGTGTTGTAGTTGCAGTAACACGTCCCTCCTCATTGACACTTATATTACATGGCGTCATGGCGACCCTGCCAGGCGGTGCGCTGCGGCAATGCACGCGCACCGCCGCACCGCGCCGGCCCTACAAATAAGAGAAATAAAATAATATTTAATTAATAAAGCACTGAATAGCAATAATAAAAAAGTATTATGAGAAGATTATTACAATAATACTAATATTTTGTGAAAGCTTACTAAAAATATATTATATAATTTATTTTTATTAAAAAAAGTCTCTCTTTATTGACTTACTTCTACATTTTATAATAGCTTAGTTGGAGTGGTTAATAATGGGTTTTAGTAGTAAAATATTTATTAATGGCAGCGGAAATCGCACAAGTTTAGCTATTGTACTGCGAAATTTAAAGCCGCCGTATTGACCCCAATAATTCTATCCATCCATCCATTACAGCCTATTCTTGTCCACTGGTGAACATAGGTCTTCCTTGTAGATTGCATCATAGAGAGGATTATGCCATAGTTATCAGGAAGACGCTGCTGCCCATTTCCTGGTTTGTTTCCTTTTATCGCCTCTTAAAACACCCACCGGACGATATGGGTTAGTAGTTATTGTTACACCGTTACTAAACGGTCAATAATAATAGATCATCATCATCATCATCATCATCATTACAGCCTTTCACAAGTCCACTGCTGAACATATGCCTCCCTCAAGGAATGCCACAAAGCACGGTCCTGAGCTACCTGCATCCATCGACTTTCTGCATGTCTTACCAGACTTACCTCTTCATCTCGTGGGGGGTCGCCCTACACTTCACCTACCGGTACGAGGCTGCCACTCAAGAACCTTTCTTCCCCATCGGTTGTCGGTTCTTCGAGCTATATGGCCGGCCCACTGCCACTTCAGCTTACTAATCCGTTGGGCTATGTTGTTTACTCGGGTTCTACTGCGGATATCCTCATTTCTAAGTTAATCACGCAGAGAAACCCCGAGCAAAGCCCTCTCCATAGCTCGCTGAGCGACCTTGAGCTTCCTCATACGGCCAGCAGTGAACGACCACGTCTCAGATCCGTAAGTCATTACTGGCAACACGCACGGGTTGTACAATTTCGTTTTAAGGTTTTGAGGTATGATGAGAATAATAATAGATACCAAAATATATTATTTTCTTTTCAGATCTACAACCATTCATAGGGATAAGAGAAGGAACGAAAAGGCTACGAAGTCCACTCATCAGTCATCATGTTAGCAACGACCCTGAACACGTTGACGCCGCGCTTGCGGTTCAATTTCTCGAAACCGAATATAGAGAATACTGTGTTCAAATTACACTATCAAATCACAGTGACGATGTTGCTAGGTTTCGTGATACTCGTTTGTGCGAGGGAGTACTTCGGGGAGCACATTAAGTGCATATCAGACCAGGGTGTACCGGGTCACGTCATCCAGACCTACTGCTTCTTCATGGCCACTTTTACCATTGTAAGTTTTTGCACATATAGTTTTGCACATATGTTATATATATATATATATATATATATGTGTGTGTGTGTAGTTATTTTTTCACATGTAGTTTATGGCATATACGAGTATAAATGTAAGCAGTTATAGACAAATTCGCAATCCACCTAGAGTCAAAGCATGGGTTGATCACGCCTAGGGAGGCCTTTATGTATTATTATATTAAATACATATTTTTTTATTATACACATATCTATATTCGATATGAATGTAGTCTATGGTATTAAAGCCTTGTCGGAAACCGGCTGGTTCGGGAGGCTGGCAGTAATGACTCTCGAAAACAGCACGTAGACGCGGCTTAGAAGGGAAATCGGTCTATAGTTCTGTAAGAGAACATTGTCGCCTTTCTTAAAGAACAAGACCACCACAATTCTGCTCCACGCCTCCGGAGTAGTGCCACCACGGAGGACAGAATTAAAAAGCTGCTGAAAGACTTCAAGTACCGGTATTCCTGCCCGCTTTCACAAGCTCCGCTGTAATTTCATCCTCGCCTGGGGTCTTGCCGTTTTTAAGGTGCTGGAGAGCCATTCTAATCTCCTCCTCCTTTGTCTGTATGGTGTCAAATCTGCTGAAGACTGCAGCTTCATTTCCCGTCTAACACCCATGAGATTAAGAGTGTGATCGGAGAGTTTTTGTGTTCTGCGGCGGGTCGTGCAGAACTTAGCTCCGACCGCATGGATAGTTTCCACGAGCTTGTCATTTATATTGTCCACTATATTGCAATCTTTTAGGCACTGAAAACAGTTTTGTAACTCTGGCTGAAATGTTTCTGGATTAGAGCACGAGGAGGACGGAGCGTTCACTTCATTAGTCGAGACCTCTCCAACTTAATGTTTAGGTTCAGTGTGCCTGTAACCATTCGGTGATCGCTACCAGTTTTCACCCTCAGTTCTTGTCTGATCGTCATAATGAAGTCAATCTCGTTTTTCCGTCGTGGCTCGACCAGGTTCACATCCTGTGGGGCCGTTACTGGAAGAAAGAGTTCATCATCAAGAGTCTTTCTCCATGAAGTCGGCCAGCTGCTGGCTCGTTAGGTTCCGTTGCCCTATTCCAAATTTCCTTACCTTCAGTTCACCGTTCTCTTTTGTACCTAGTTTTGCGTTGAAATCTTCCATTAACACCGTATAGTGGGTTTTTGAGGAATGCATGGCTTTAGAGATATCCCCATACATTTCCTCCACCTTCTCATCGGGATGTGCCCAGGTTGACTGTATGACCTTCAACGAATACCGTTTCGTGATTCTGAGTATAATGTACGTAACCCTTATCACACTCATAATCTTTACAACGTTGTTAACGAGAGACTTGTTGCCGATAAATCCGACACTTCCTTGGGACAGATGGTCCCAAGGAAGTGTCGGAAGTCCCTCCCGGTGATAGCACAAGTTACCGGATTCGAAAATTACCGTATCCCAGCGCAACTTGTCTATCTCTTCTTCCAGCTCTAGGATCTTTTCGTCAGTCCTCAGGGTGCGTGCGTTGTGTATTGGTGGCAACCGAACCTCCACCGGAGATTCTTAGCACCCCATGCCCCGCCGTTACCATGGTCGCCACCGTAGCCAGGATGGGACGCCGGGGACTGGGGGCCGTCCTTTTGTAACTCTCGTCATGGGAGGTATATAGACATAGTTGCCACGCTTGGCGAGCGGGTTGGCAACCGCAGGTTTTTCATTGTAATTTGCTGTTATCAGGATTATGCTGCTGCCCATCTTCTGTTTCAGTTTCCCTCTGTGCACTCTTACGACATCTACGAGAAGATATGGAGTAGTGGGTATTCTTACTCGTCACTACACGGGGAATACTTTAATGTACTTTATAATAATTCATCCATCCATCCATTACAGCCTTTTGAAAGTCGACTGTTAACGTAGGTCTCCTCCTTATATTGCCCCTTAGGGGGGAATTTTGCTATAGTTGCCAAGCTTGGCAGGCGGGTTGGCAAGCGAATTTTTTATTGTTTTCATTTGCTATTAGGTACATACTGCTGCCAATCACCTATTTCAATTTCTCTGTGACCTCTTAAGACTCCCACGGGACGATATGGGGTAGTAGATATTCTTATACCGCCACTACTCGGAGTCAACAGCCTTGAGGGAAGCCAGTTGACCAAGCTGGTTAATAAATGTTGGTGCTCAGTATATCCGTCAGCGGAACTGCTAAAAGAGTCCACGAATTTATAATAATTGCAATTTAAAACATTACAAATGTGTAACAGGTTCGACATTACAACGAAAGTCTCCTGCAACACGGTTTCCTGCCACACCCGGGCGTTGGCCCGCTCAGTGACACGGATAAGACACTACACCACACATACTACCAGTGGGTGCCGTTCGTACTGTTCGTACAGTCCATATGCTTCTACTTGCCGCATTACATTTGGAAGAAGAAGGAAGGTACAAGATAATATTTTAGTTAGATAGACAGATAAATAACACCAGTGGCGTAGCTAGGCGTGGGCGAAGAAATCCCTCGCCCACGGCCTTGCACTTAAAGGGGCCTCGCGAGGCCTCTTTAAATGCGATGTCCGCAGACTAAAGTTGACTAATTAATTTGATTGCTTTTACGATTTTTACATATTTAAAAACGTGATTGCGAGGCCGTTGTAACTACCCTCAAAAACCACAACCGTTAGATTGACGGAATACGAGACTTGTCAGGAATTAATAGCAATGTCGTGTCAAAGCAACACTCGCTGGCACTGCGTAGAGATGTTGCATCTCTTTGCTTATTTATCGCATCTGTCACGGGGAGTGCTCTGAGGAATTGTTCGAACTAATTCCAGCCGCTCAATTTCACCATCGCACATCGCGACAAAACTCGCGATATAGAAGAAGTTTTCCCCCTCGCACAACTTCCTTGTGGAATCGATTACCACCAGCGATTTTTCCGGACCGATACGACTTAGGGACCTTCAAGAAAAGAGCCTACTCCTTTTTAAAAGGCCGGCAATGCATCTGCAATTCCCCTGGTGTTGCAGTTGTTCATGGGCGCCGGTAGTCACTTACGATCAGGTGAGCCGCATGCTCGTTTGCCCCCTCTCAAAAAAAAAGCATGTTTGGTAGGATAGATCTATTAGGTAGATCTTTGGAACGAAAGAAAAGGGGCCTTGCTGATGCGACTTCGCCCACGTCTATATAAGTCCACGCTACGCCTCTGGATAACACTTTGGACGTCAAAAATATATATACCATTACAGCCTATCAAAAATCCACTACTGAACATAGGCCTCCCCATGTCTTGCCTCATAGGGGGGATATTTGGTTGGCAATTCCAGTTTTCTATTTTTTATTCAGCTGTATAATGCTACTGGCCATCTCCCGGTTCAATTTTTTTTATAGGATAGTGTGACAAACGAGTACACAGTCCACCTGATGGTAAGTGGTTGCTATGGCCCATAGACATCTACATTTATCCTCAATAAAGAATCAAAATGCAGATATTTTATAAAGAAGTAGTTAGTTTCAACCGATGTGTAGTATTCGCGTAAACGTAAGAAATCATTATGTTGCTTTAAGATATTATTACACTGATGATAACATGTTATTATTATACGTGTTTATGACAAGTAGCAGATATATCGCGTCATTTACGATTATCCTCGTGCTATCTAAGAAGTATTAAAAAACTAAAGTTATATAATTGATGAATATAGCCTATATACTTCAACCTGCATCCTACCATTTCTGAGAGGGATATGGAACAATTAGTTCATATCATCCCGTGGGTGTCATAGGCGCCAGAGGGAAACCAATCAGCAGATGGGCCGCAGTGTCTTTATTTTTTATATGATCGAGTGACAAACGATCACATAGCCCACCTGATGGTAATTGGTTGCTGTGGCCCATAGACATCTACATTTATCCTCGTTTGCGAATCAAATTGCAGATGCGTTGTCACCCGTGAGGACTAAGATGGAATGCCTCTTTGCCAGTAAAAAGGGTCTCCGGTTCTCTACACTCACCATACCAAACACAGCAGTGGTGTTTCAATTTCCCTCTGTCGCCAATAACGACACCAATGGAACGATATGGAGTGGTGTATTCTTACACCCTCACTACACGATTGACGCCACTGTACTAAAAGAATATATACATATAAACTAAAAAAATGAAGTCAACCTTTGGATGGCCTCCTGTCCATCAGAATCCTGCAAAAGAGCAATAAAAATATCTATATTATAATAGTTTTTGAAGTTTACTCCTTAAGAATCGATTTTCATGTATAAGCCAGAGGTAGTGTTGCCCAAATGCAAGAACAAGACGAGACTTAGCAAGTATTGGTCTTGGTCTTGTGCCAATACACCTGGTCTTGATCTTGGTCTTGGTATTGCGCTCCAAGTCTTGGTCTTGGTCTTGGTCTTGCAGCAAGAGTCTCGCAAGTCTCGCAAGTCTCGCAATGACCTATTAGCCTATTAGATACTATTTATTAAACTACTTTAGATCTTAGAACAACTTAACAGAGTAGGTACATATTGAGCTTGAATTAACATAGCCATAGTAAAGATCAACCATATTAATAAATGTCTAAACATTTAATTAGAAATTCGAAAAATCAACTGACACTGGGTGGGGTTTGAACCCACGACCTAAGCGGTCCGTGCCGATACTCTAACCAACTGAGCTATCTACCGTGTCCCACGGCCATGGGCGTCAGTTTCTTAATAAACGTTTGCATTTAATAAGCTTACATGTGCTAAAACATGGTTAAACATATAATATTAATACATATAAAAACAAATTAATGGCAATAACTACACTGTATTTTAAATAAAATTATTTCTCTAGAAAGAGATTGATGGACCCTCACCATATATGAAATGGAATAAAAGAGTTATACAATATACCATTTATTTAAATAAAAAATAAAATACGATGCAAATTAAATTACTTCACAGTATGTACACAACAGCTTTGACATTACTGTTAGGTACTTTATATTTATTCTTTTGACAAAGCATTAATATAAAGTAACCATCTGGCTGACTCATCACTTAACCTATTTCTATGTTTTCTAATTACTAATGATGCTTTAGAAAATAATCTCTCAGCAGGTACTGAAATTGCAGGTATTAAAAGAAAATCACGGGCCATCTTCGATAAAATCGGATATTTTGTCTCATGCGTCCTCCAACAGTCTAAAATGTCTTGCAAGATGACGGCTCTGGGTTTACCTAGGTATCCCTCCAACTCCTTAATAACTAAGCCTTGAAGACAAGATCCAGATCCATTTTTACACATTTCAAGTGTTGTACTTTCGAATAGCTGCACAATTTCTTTGACAGATCAGTATCCGACCTTTGATGACGCCGACAACAAGACGCCGCGCACTATCAAAGTGCCGATGGTCAAAACTAGGGATACACTCTTTTTTCTTTTAATGGATATTTTCATTCGCTATGTATATTTATGGTATTGTTCGTAATGCGCATAAGTCCAATTTTCCAATTTTTTTTTCATTATATTTTTTGCGTCTCATTGAGTCCCTAAGCGTATACCCGAACTCCTATACTCCCTGAAACGACACTTAGTCCTAACTGCAAGACGCAAGAGTCTCGCAAGCTAAGTCTTGTTCTTGCGCAAATCTTGCACGGTCAGTCTTGGTCTTGGTCTTGCTAAAAAGAGGCGGTCTTGTTCTTGGTCTTGGTCTTGCAAAAATGCAAGAACAAGACCAAGACTGCAAGACCAAGACCGATTTTGGGCAACACTAGCCAGAGGTATGAAAATTTATGGGGAGTAAAATCAAACTTTACGTTATGAGTTACGTTATGTATTCATGTTTCCATGACTTCGTAATGTCGTGCGTGGCTGTACTAGATACTGTATATAAACAAATAACAACTGTCACCCAACTGTCAACTTGCGGAGTTTTGATATTAAATTTCATATATAATCGTTCTTAAGGAGTAAACTCCAATCGTGGGTTGGAGCTGATACATACTTTTTTAAATATTATATCACTAGCTGTTCCCCGCGATTTCCCCCGCGTGTAATTTAGGGTTTTAATTATGTTGCGCGGAACCCTAATTCTTTTTCTAAAATATAAGTGGCCTAAGTTACTCTTTATAACATCAGCTATCTGCCAGTGAAAGTCCCGTAGAAATCGGTCCAGCCGTTTCGGAGATTACCTGGATTACACGGAACAAACAGACAGACAGACAAAAATTTAAAAATTGTGTTTTGTTATAAGTGTCGTAAATATTTTCATTCATATTTCTATAGGTAATGTTTTAGCACTTTTCACAGTTATACATAGGTCTCCCCCATAGATTGCCTCATATGTGGGTATATGTGTGGTACCGATTGAGGTTGGCCTTGACGGACCAAACAAATGACGAAAATAGTGTACTATATGTAGCGCCGGTTCGGTCTCATTTGGAATACTGTTCCCATTTATCCAGTTCCTACTACCCTACCTTCTACTTGACCGAATCAAGACCAAACTCTCTCCTTTCGCCTTGAGAAGGCCCATGAATCAAGCCGTTCGGAGAAATTTGCGTAGTCAGGCTATTTTTCTATATTTGAACCTTCCTCTATTGAAGTAACTAAATTATTTTACTTCCTCAAAGGTGGCAGGATCAAAGCCCTTGTTGACGGTCTTCAGTACGCTGGTCTTGCCTTAGAAGCTGAAGATATGAAGATTGGATCGTCCACGGTCCCTTCCAGGAAAAGCGTTGAAAACCAAATCGAACTTATCAGAAAGGATATCATAATGAGGTAAAGTTTTCAGGTCATACATCGCTCAAACAGCAAACACAATTAGTTATTTCTTTGCTAATATGCCCATCGCCACAACAGAATCATCAGTCACGTACTACTTAACCGCATCCGTGATTTTAGTGAACTTTTTTAGTGAACCATTCCTAACTGGCGGGCAAGACTAGACTAGATACTACCTAATACTACCACAAATTCTTCCCGTGGGAGTCATAAGAGGCGAGAGGGGCAAACAGAGGCAGAATATGGGCAGCAGCATCGTTTTGATAACAGCAACATAATAATAAAATACCTGCGGTTGCCTACCCACTCGCCAAGCGTAGCATCTATGGTAATATACCCCTCATGATGAGAGATACGAAGAGACGGCCTCCAGTCCCAGGTGGCTCCGCTATCCCGGGCTACGGTGGCGACTATGGTAACGGCAGGGCAGCGGTTGCTAGGAATCTCCGGTGAAGGTTCGGTGGGCACCGAAGATGACTCGACCTGGCACCATATAACTCACGCTCACTGAGGACTGACGAGGAGATTCTAGAGCTGGAAGAAGAGATAGACAAGTTGCGCTGGAATATTATAGGATTATCCGAGGTCCGAAGAGAGGGGGAGGTCACGGTAATCCTCGAATTCGCCAACTTTTTCTATAACAGAGAGGGCGACCATCTGTCCCAAGGAGATGTCGAATTTATCGTCCACAAGTTTCTCGTTAACAACGTAGTAATGTCTGGAAGTGTGTCAACGTGGGTTACGTACTTTATATTCAGAATCACCAAACGGTAATCGCTGAAGGTTATACAGGTTTACGCACCAACCTCGGAACATCCCGATGAGGTGGTGGAGGAAATGTATGAGGATATCTGATATCTGTTAGAAGTAGTTAGACGGTGCAATTAGTATGAAAAATTAGTTTACAAGTACCTACTCTATTTAAAAAAAAACATAGCCTCAATAACCCGACTTAGCCCAGGCTAGAATATAGTGAACGATGTATCTTAGATTAGTATTGGGTGACGAAAATATTTGTCATCACGGAATGGTTTGTTTTGATTAGAAAATTATTCTAGAAAATTTTTAAACTTCTTAGATAAATCTAGAACGACCTTATGATAAAAGGGATTTCTATGCAACTACGGATATCCATTTAGAGCACTAAAGATTAAATAAACACCCAAAACTGCTGGTTCAGTAATCATATGAACTTCTTGGACTTTAGTTTGCGTGAATAATTCATTCCAGAGATTGACGCTAAGCTATTCATTATTATTATTATTATTACGGCCTATGACAATACCACTGCTAAAGATAGGCCTCTCCATGGATTGCCTCACGGAGGTTATTTTTATTATAATTATAATAACTTTTAAATTCAGATTTTATTCCTTAAGTGTGAGTAATCAAATATAAAATCTTAGGAACTACAGTTAGTAATGGTTTATCACAGGCAGGCCTGCCTCCATTCAGAGTTTTACATAATTACTGTCTAAGCAATTACATTTATTTTCAACAGTTTCTTACTTATTTACAACAATTATAACAGTCTCACTAAAACGAAATGTATAAAATTCATGACTCCAAATGTCAAACAATTAATTACTAATGTAATTTTAAATGGGGACGAACTGAGTCTTGTCGATACCACCATTTTTCTTGGAATAACACTAGACGCGAAGCTTCAATGGAGCCCCCATTAGTTCTGCAGCATATGCTTTAAAAAGATTAGAAATCTTACCAGTGTGGAAACAGCTAGACTTGTTTACTTTAGCTATTTCCATAGCATAATGTCGTATGGTATTTTGCTATCGGGGAACGCGACTGACACTGAAATTATAAGTATATTTGTTTTACAGCAGATGGCCATAAGAGCAACCCATGATTTAAAACCTAAAGAGTCGCTCCGACAAAAATTTAAGGAAATTAATATATTAACTTTGGCCTCTCAATACATTTATTTAAATGTAATATGTACGTACACAAAAATAAAAGTAGTTATACAAAAATAAGTGATATTCATTCTGTAAATACTAGGAACAAACACAAGCTAGTAGTACCAGTTACTCGACTCCACCGAGTAAGTAATTCATTCTTGGAGCGATGTATATATACCCTTTTACAACAAAATCCCAGAATATATATAAAATTTTACCTGCTCAAAGTTCAAAAACTTTATTAAACAAAGTTTGTATAAAAAGGGTTATTATAATATTAAGGAGTTTATGGATGATAATAACCCCTGGGAATGATGTGATCGCTACCAAGCTATATTTCTAATTTGTTTTGTGTGGTTAATTGTGATAACATTATTGTAAGCTGTTATTTTAAAAAAAAGTCCCGCTGAGTTTCTTCCTGGTTCTTCCCAGGACAGAGGTTTTTTTTCGAATCAGTGGTAATTAAACAAAAGAGTGACTTTCAATAAGTATTATTTATACTGAATAAGTATTATTTATATTGAATAAAAAGTTTCTGTTTCCGTTTCTGTTTCAGTATTATTTATAATCTATATTGAATAAAAAAGTTTGTTTCTATCTGTTTATCCAGGAGAGTATTAGTGCTACCTCGTATTTGCGTCATCAGGGATGCTATCCGCTTGCGTAAATTTTTGCCATAGTTGCCACGATTAACAGGCGGCTTGGCAACCGTTGTATATTATTATTTTTAAATTGTTATCAAGAAGATGCTGCTGCCTTTTTCATATTTTATTTTACTTTGTCGCTTCTTAAACTCTCTCGTTAAATTAACACAATCATGCTATTTTAGAAAAGCGATTGTAACCTTTTCAGGTTACGTATAACTCGGACGTGGTCTACGTGGCTGGTATCGATGGAGATTGTTAACTTACTGCACCTCATGTTTCAAATTTGGATGATAGATGTATTTCTTAACGGGCAATTTATTGGACTGGGTCCAAGTATCCTCAATTATGGCGATTGGGAGCAGATCAATGATCCACTTGAAATGATATTCCCCAAGGTAAGAATTGTTCTATCGAATAAAAATCTGAATGTGCAGTATTAAAAAATGGGTGTTCTTATTGCTTACCGCAATCTCTTCCAGACAAACAATGGATGGACAGGATCACAGATTACTGTTATATATATACAAATACACAAAATTGAAGTGTCTGTTTGTAATGTTAAAATAACAGCTTTTTACTAAATGCATATGAATGTATATACGGTACTTATAACAAAAACACAATTTTTAAAATTTTTGTCTGTCTGTCTGTCGGTCTGTCTGTCTGTCTGTCTGTTTGTTCCGTCTAATCTCCGAAACGGCTGGACCGATTTCGACGGGACTTTCACTGGCAGATAGGTGATTTTCTAAGGAGTAACTTAGGCTACTTATAGTTGAGAAAAAGAATTAGGATTCGTGGGGATTAGAAGTCGTGGGGAACAGCTAGTATGTATATATATATATGTATATATATATATATATACTAGCTGACCAGGCAGACGCTGTTCTGATCTTTCCGACGACCCTTTGTCTAATAAAAGAAAACCTTAAATTGCAAAAAAAATATGTTGATGGTCACTTAACGGGATAAAAACTATCCTATCTCTCAAGTTGGACCAAACAGCACACAGTGTACAAAATTTCATTGAAATCAGTTCAGTAGTTTAGGAGTTCATCGCGAACGAACAATGTGACACGTAATTTTTTATATATAAAGATATATAACATTTTGTACAATTTCAGGTAACCAAATGCTTGTTCCACAAGTACGGTCCGAGTGGATCCATCCAGCAGCACGACGCGCTCTGCGTGATGGCTCTGAACATCATTCATGAGAAAATTTACACAATACTGTGGTTCTGGTTCCTCTTTCTATTCATTGCGTCGTTACTCGGTGAGTGTATTTTGAAATAAATTAAGTCCTCCTGACCAAATCTCGGTCATGGCGACCAGTCTCAACGGAGACTAGCAAGTACAAATACACTCTCTATTCCCTCATTCTCATAGTCCGTTGGTAACCTATTGTTTTGAAAAAGTACTAGAATGTATGCTGTCCCATATAATCCCGAGGGTGTCACAAGAGGCAACAGAGGGAAACGAAGCAGGAGATGAGCAGCAGCGTCTGCGGTTGGCAACCAGCCTGCCAAGTATGGGAACTATAGTAGAGGCCTGTGTTCACCATTAATCTTTTGATAGTCTGTAATGCTAATAATTTTGCGAGCGGGTTGGCTAGCGCAGTTTTTTATTTTTAGTCAGCTGTTATCACGGAGTATAGTGGCGGTGTAAAAATATCCACTACCCCATATCATCCCGAGGGTGTCGTAAGAGGCGACAGAGGGAAACAAATAAGGAGATAGGAAACAGCGTCTTCCTAAAAACAACTAAAAATAAAGAAACTGCGGTCGCCAAGCCCCTTGGCTATAAGACAATCCTTGGGGGAGGCCTATGTTCAGCAGTAAGCTTTAATAGGCTGTCACGGTAACTGTTATCAAGAAGACGCTGCCGGCCATCTCCTGGTTCAGTTTCCCTCTGTCACCTCTGACACCTGCATATGGGGTAGTTGATGTTCTTACACCGCCACTATACGGTAAACCGGAATACGAGCGTGAAATGGTTGCATGACTTTTATGGTGTGTGTAGAGAACAGAACTGAGGAATATATCATTGTTACAATGCAATGTAAATGCAATTTGATTGATCAGGTGGATTTCGTGCTATCTTGTCACCCCTATTAACTTAAACAACCATTCATGTTCATTCTTGTTTTTACACGTGGTGGAGCCATGCTGTAGCTATATTATGGTTGTAGCACGAATGAGTCGGCTCGACCGGGGAAGGATCACGCTCTCACAGAACATCAGTGTAAAACAGCAGCTTACTGTTGCTGTGTTTCGTATGGTGGGTGAAGAGAACTGGAAACCCTTTTTTAATGGAAACAGGGCATTCCATCTTAGGCCCGTATTAATAAACGTTACTCAACGACGAACTCAAGTGCGTAGTCATTTGATACGCCCTCATTACTATATCGGCATCTCAAGATCGTTGCTAATTAATAAACACATAAAAACAGTATCTCAAAACACTGTACTTAGGAATACTGTTCTGTGACTTGCACTCAAGTACACACACTTGAGAGTCGAGTTTCGTTTATTAATCAGTGTGGCACTCAGCCGATATCGTAAACCTTAACCGCATCTTGAGATATGTTTATTAATAAGATCATAACCTCAATATTGTACTCAAGTGCGTGTACTCGAGCTGAGTAACGTTTTCGGGCCTTAGTCTCTGAGAACAACCCTGAGCGTGACAAAGCAACTGCATTTTAATACTTAATAGAATATAGACGTAGATGTATTTAGGCCAAAGTATTCACTTACTTTCTGTTATCTCGTTTGTCACCCTTATTCTATAAAAAATAATCTTTCCCAGCTGTGATCTGGCGTGCCATCTCCTTCTTCCTCTACCGTCGCTCACTGAAGTTCAATCAGATGGTGTTCCGTCACGTGGCTTCCGGAAAGTTCAACCCTCACAACGTTATCAGCGTGGTGAACGGCTGCGAGTTCGCTGACTGGCTGTTCCTGTATTACCTTGCCAAGAACATGAAGAGCTCCGTCTTCCAGTGAGTTATATCCTCAAATTATATCCATACATCTATACATATAAATAAAATTAAAGAGCCATCTGTAATATTAAAATAACCGGCTTCTATTTAGCTCAGGGCTTTAGGCTTTAGTTCAGTTATTTGCATGTTGCTAAGACATAAATAACTATTTTTAAACATTTGTGGGAAATAGCGCGAATACGCCAAGAAAGGTTAGTTGTTAAAAATAGTAAAAGTGTGAGAGCGGATGTTCAACTTGTTCTCTTGCTTACGCAATTGATCATTGGTGGCAATAAAACAGCGTAGCTGCACTATAGTAGTATAGACAAATACATTTTGACCATACCGTAATATGACCTCGTCACAATCACACAGCAGTGTAACGTGAGGTACGTAATTACATGATAACACCAAAGTATGCAAACCAACAACAACACTACTTGTCTCAGTGTAACCCAGGACAGCCTCTCAGCAACACCATCCACCTTGCCTGCACAGAAGAATTACTACCACGAACAGAATCACGACACTATCTTAGCACTCGTAGAATGACTTATGCGGAATCTCTCGCGCTCGGCACCTACACTGAACTTTATACTGCACAAACGAGTGGAAGGGGGTTCTCGAAATACCCTCAATTCAAACTCGCCACCATCGATATGACGCTCCACTAAAGTGATGGAACCTCTCGCTCACTCTCGATTCAACCGGTATTTTACAGACGCGCCTACATATTAATGTCTGTCTGTCTGTCTGGACTAATCTTCGGAATGAACCGATTGTGATTAAACTTTTAGAACAGATACAGAGCAATGTCAGGACGGATCTAGGCTATATTTTTTCCCATAAACTTAGACTTTTGTTTTCAAAAAGGAAACATAGATACAATAAATGGTCTTTGATTGATTGTCTTAAATCCAAATAATGTTACATTAATAGATACTATCCAGGCGAAGTCGGGGCGCTAGTCAGTATAAAGACATGTTGCTCTTTTTTTTAATTAATTAAAAATTTTATTACAATAAATAATGAAATTAAACTTTATTATATACAATACTAGCTGACCAGGCAGACGTTGTTCTGCTCTTTCCTGAGATGACCCTTTCTCCAATAAAAAAAATCATTAAATTCACAATAAAAAAATTGAGGGTCACTTATCGGGATAAAAACTATCCTGTCTCTCAAGTTGGACCAAATTGCACAGAGTGTGCAAAATTTCATTGAAATCAGTTCAGTAGTTTAGGAGTTCATCGCGTAGAAACAATGTGACACGTAATTTTTATATATAAAGATTAAAAGCTATAATAAAAAAACTAAAACTAGTAACTTAATTATTATTATTATTATTTTAAAGATAGTGTAATATTTAATATTATAACAATGACAAATGTAGGTGGATTTATCACCTGCGGAGTTGGCTATTGTGAATTTCTTCAAGCGCTAACTGTAGTAGTGTGTAGAAATGAATGGGAACGACAAATCACAACGTTAAGCACTCGGTGAATGCGGGAGACTCAAGCAATTTATGGCATTCTTTGCAGCAGGTCTATGTTCAGCAGTAGACTTGTGAAGAGCTGTAACGATAATGATAACGATAAAATCAGATTTCGCGAAGTATTTTTGTGAATAAATAATTGGACATTTTCCCACCCTTTTCTGTTGAAGTTTTGAAGTTATACTACTTTTGGGGCGTTTGGGAAAAATGATGACTTCCTACGTTCGTACATAAGTACACACACACTTTTTTCTTCATTCATTTAGATATAGCCTTTATTAAAAAAGAATTATTAGATTCGATTCACAGTTGGCGAAGATATCGAATAAAATACATATATGTACATACGCTCAAATCGACGACATTTCCTTTTTGAAATCTGTTAAAGTTAAAAATAACAGACTATACAACCCGTAGCTTGGCACAGGCTTAGCTTCATTTTTGAGAGGGTTAAGGGCGGAATTAATGTGGCCGTCAATTATTTAAAAAAAAAGGATATTAACTTCTATTTACGACGTTTTCTTTACCAGTCGAGAACGCGGTTATTCAACATTGAAAGTTACTATAAACAATTTTATCAATACCGACGTGGATTTAAATTGGATTAATTGCGAATAGCGCCTATCCTCTCAGCTACCAGGGCTCTTTACGATTGTTTTAAAAAGTTTGTTGTTTTAAATTAAACGACTATAATAATTAAATTGCAGAGAACTCTACATGCGTCTCGCTGAAGAGTTGGAGAAGCGGGAGCTACCATACGAGCAGAACGGCCACGAGGAAAAGGGCGCGGAACCGATATTAGTGGGGAAGGTTGACTACACTGATGAGACGCTGCCATTAAAAGACGGGAAGAAGTCTTCATAGTGAGCCGCGCTAGACTGACTTTTTTGGACTGTGATTATCAATGTCTTTACTTCGTACTTAAGTTGTGCTCAAGTTTTATTTGTATAATATTCTTAAACAAAATGCTAGGTATAAATATATTTATAAGAAAAGAAGTAACCATCTGAGAGGATAGAAGATCCTATAAATATGTTTCTGTTGGGAATAAATTTCCGATTAAATGTCGGATGGGCCAAAAAGATTTAACATTGATTTTGGTATGTATGTATATCGTAAAGCTAAAACGATTATGTAAGGAAATGATTCACGCTTGTAATATAATTTTTATCCTGTTATTTTAGGTTAGAGTTTTGTTAAAGGTATCAGAATTTAGTGCTACATCAGTCCAAACGAGTGATTAGTCGCAGATTGAGCTTGCAATAATGAAATATACGAATAATAAACGAAAAAAGGAATATTCTACTTTTTCGTTCGTTATCATTCTTTCTTGTTTGGGTTTTTTATTATCACCATCATTACATCCTATCATCAGTCCACTGCAGAACGTAGACCTCCCTCATAGATTGCCGCGGATTTTTGATATAGTCGCCTCTTTGACAGGCGTGGACACAACTGTTCTTTTATAATTTGGAGTTGTTTTCAGGAAGATGCTGATACCCATCATCCAGCCATCCATCATGTTCTGTTTCATTTCTTTCTTTTTACGACACCTATGAGATGATATGGGGTTTTGGTTATCGATTCTTTTACGCTGCCACTTCACGGCGACTGGTTTTATTGGACCGGTTTCTGTTGTTACGTATTTTAATATAATAAATGAATTTAAAACTTTACATGTTTGGATGTCGCTCGTCTCACACAAAGGGCTAAGTAATTGAAATGAAATTTTACCATATAGATAAATTATGTCATGTGATATATGTTACATAGGATACTCTTTGAGCTCTTTTTTAAAATACTGCATCGCCTTTTATATTATGACTATCTCTGTTTAACCTAATGGTTGTTGGTTGTTGGTATATACTACTTTATGCATTAAAGTATTAAATTTTTTTAAATTATTAATCAATTCAATTGGTAACGCGAAGTAAAGTTAGTTTTGATAAAGTAATTCGACGTACTTGAAACACATTTCTAGTTTTTGAAGATAGCATTGTATGTTGATAAGTTGAGAATGCTTGAGATAGCGTGGAAGTCAAGATATGAATAAAAAATAAAAAGTACATAAGTGAAATCGAATTTATAAAAAAACTAGCCGTAGAATATTAAGTAATATCTGTGTAAATTACATGGTTTTGAATGAAAAAAGATGCCTAAAAATATGCAAAATCACGAATTTCCCGCGTAAAGTCGTTATTGTTCTATCGCAACACTTGTTAACGGAAGTGGGGAAATTATGTTATAATTTTGTAATGTTTGTAATTTGTATTTTTATGAATAAAACTCTTGTATTAGTTTTGTAGAAAAAATAAATATATTTACGAATGTTTTTACTATGAATGTATTTTTATTAGAATTTCCCTATTATATTTTGGCCCACTAATTTAGCATGAATGAAACAGCTTTAGAAACATTTATAGTTTTCATTTATAGAATTAGATAATTTATATAATGCTGGCACTTTACTGTCGTCCGACTGTTTCGTTTATCAAAACCTGAGGTACGAAACTAAGCCAAATTGGATTTAACCATAAACTATGGCTCCGTATAAATAACTAAAAGATTAGAAAAGCTAATTAAAAGACGAGGATATTGAATGCTACATTGAAATAATGTGTTTGATGTGCAGATGGGTTACCTCAGAACTTTTCTCTTTGTGAACGGTTTTTGATTATTCTTTTTGCTGCTTAAAGATGGTGCACCTCATGTGGTCCCATATAAATTTGATCAAGATCTGGCCAGTAGTTTCTGAGTTATCCTTAATAATGCGTATTTAATTGATTTCGACTACATTGATGATGTTCTCATTTTATTTATATTGAAGTCGGTTGTACAATTTTTTTTTAATTTTACCACTACTTGTTATTTGTACTATTGATTGATCTAACTTTGTGGAGCCCTAAAACTCGCTCGAACTGCATCTTTACACATCGAGTGTTGACGATTCGTTAGAGGTTTGCAAGATCCGTCTGGAGCCAGCATAATAATTGCTAAACATTACACGCTAGAAAAAGATCTTTTAATGAATAAGTTTTTTTGGATATTGCCTAATCAGGCAGGCAATGACATCAAGCTAGTTAAAGACAGAGTGAAACATTTGTGAGCTCACTGTTAATATGATAGGTGGTATAATTGAGCGTTATAGGACATATTACGCGTCATCGCTGTCAAGTTTATGCAAACAAGAGCCATTTGGCGATGCACGGGTAATTAGCGTCCACTGAGTTAATAACATTATAAAGCAAGTTTAGTCAAGGTTGATAAGAATGAATATTGATAAAAATTCGGTTAAATGTTACTTTATGTTTATTTAAAAGCTTAACACCAGACACCACGCACAAATTGACAAATTAACTAATAGTCACCTACTGTCAGGCATAGAAACACAGGGCTATTTTGCAAGAACCGGCCAAATTTGCAGAGAAGGTTCAGAATAAGTAATATAGGCAAATGGTGACGAAAAATTAATTAAAAGAAATCTCAATAATTCTGTTCTTTTTATCTTTTAATGCGTGGTAATGCTTTATTTTAACTGATTTTACCGCGCACGCGCACATTCGTAAGGGTCGATCGGTAGGCAAAAACGTTGTTGGCCATAAACCACATTCAATTAGGGATAATTTCAAATAAAATTAAGAGCCTTATTTATTCGTACTTTCAAAAACTGCATTTTTTATATATATGATTTATTTATATATTTAAACTTAAGGTTAAAAATTGGCATGCACATATGTATATAATTTATACCATCAGGTGAATCCGCATGCTTCCTTGATTCCGTATGGGATTCAAACAGCATACCTCATATCATAAGTAAAAATCAACTTAAAAAAAAAACTAAAAATAATTAATCATCGAAATTGATTGTATAATTAAAATTTACTCGCTCGTATGTCTCATAGAAATGGAGGGTTGTAGTCTTTATCCCCCGCGGTGACAAGCCGTATTGGGAGATGTAGATATAATAAACAAAATAAACGTAATAAACAAAAGAAAAAGAGGTAGACCGAGAGAAAAATGGGTTGATGAAATAATAAGAAAAGCGGGTGAAAATTGGATCACGAAGGCAAAGGACAGACAGATGTGGAGAAAAATGGAGGAGGCCTTCACCCGTTGAGGGGTCCATAATGAATTATGTTATAAATTTTATAAAATTAACTGAAAATTTAATTTATTTATTATTTTGAAATTTATATTAAATTTAGAAATTATTTGTTATGCGATTGTAAAATATTAATCATGATATGTAATTATGAAATGTAATATTTTGTTTTATGCATGCATAATTATGTATTCGTAATCTTAAGATATATATTTTTTGTCATTCATTATGGAAAGAAAGAGGCTATATTATTATTATTATTATTATGTCTCATAGAAGCATTTGTAAATGAAAGAGTTTGATGATTTTTTCACGGATCCCATCATTAGATATTGGTCACAATGTGGGATCACCCTTATACTTAAAATTGATTTTTCAACTGATTTCAAAAAACTAAAGAGATTCAAGTAATTGAATCATAAACAAAAGAGATTGAAACCATTGATTCATTGAAACGAACAAACATGATCTGATTTCAATGATTCAATCAATGAATTGAATCTCTTTAGTTTTTTGAAATCGGTTGAAAATCGTTTTCTTGACAACAAATTGCGGTTGCCAAACCGCCTGCTGCACTACTTCTATGAGACAATCTATGGGGAGGCCTGTTTTCAGTATTGTACTTATAGACTGCAATGGATGGATTGAATGGAAATAATTTTGTAATTCGGAGTAATCCTGCAGAATATGATGTTTTTAAATTACAATGCAAATTATCGAATTTCATTTTAAAATTACAAATCAGAAATATTTGCCATCTACGCTAGACAGGTCTATTGACCAGGCTATTGACTGATACGATCTTCAAGAAAAGAGCCTACTCCTTTTTAAAAGATCGGCAACGTACCTGCAATATCCCTGGTGTTGTAGTTATTCATGGGCGGCGGTAGTCACTTACCATTGCTACTATCCTGCATACAACGGGAGAAGCGTATGTCCGCTGCTGGACATACACTTCGTCGATCTTAACAGAGTGATTGACAGCCACAGTACCAGATGTCTCGCACGTTGACGCTGCAGCTGGTTGCCGATCTGGATTTTTTACATCTGATATACGAGATATACGAGATGGCATACCGTAATCTATCGAAAATTATAAGTGTTTTCCATCATTCGCCTCTCGACACTAGTCCCTAGAAGTTTTAACGTGGTAGAGCCATGCTGCAGCTATATAAGTAGTGTAGTTGTAGCATGAATGGGTCGGCTCGACCGGGGAAGTACCACGCTCTCACAGAATACCAGCGTAAAATAGCAGCTTAACGCTGTTGTGTTTCGTGTTGTGATGTCTATGAGCCACAGCAACCACTAACCATCAGGTGGACTGTATACTCGTCTGTCACCTTTATCCTACTCGTATAAAAAAAAGTTTCTTGTATATAGCCAAAAGAAAAATACATAGTTAGGTAATAAGTAGCATCGCCAAATGTGCGAGACATCTATTAAAGCAATTGCTAATAGGTTTGGCAAGTGTGGTAATTGTGGCAAATCCTACTTACTATAGAAGAGGCCAAAATCCAGATAATTGTACACATAAATTGCCGATCCAAACCAATATTTATAAAATTTGAGCAATTTAAAAAATCATGAAAAGGTCTTTAAAGTACAAGAAGAGAAGTCACCTGCTCTACCTCCCAGTATACGGTGTATATATATATATATCATTCAAAATTTATGTATTAGATTTATATTTGGGCTTCGCAAATATGATCATATCTCTGAATTTCGCAAACAGCTCAAATGGCTCCCGATCCGCCTTCGC